AGACAGGAGTTAACCTTTCAGTTTTTGATGGACGCATTGCTCTATATTTAATATCTATATTTATGAAATGGAGGTGCAAAGGAGTTTTGTTCTCTTTTCTTTTTAATGAACAAAAATTGCAGCAAACTGCTGCTCACGTTGCAAATGTTATGTTGAGAGTGTGTTTCCTGCAGTGTTTGATGGACTCATTTCTCTCCCTCTCTACTTTACGATGGGTTAGGGTTAGGGTTGTGTCGTTTTAAAACATGTTCTAAAGTATCAACGATTGTAAAACATGACTACTCCTACCCACACATTCACACACTGATGGTAGAGGCTGCTGTGTAAAGAGACATCAGTATTAACTAATCCACTCACTCACATTCACACACCGATGACGAAGCAGCGGGAGCAACTCGGGGTGAAGTGTCTTGCCCAAGGACACATCAGACCTTCGGGTTGAGAGACGACCGACTCCACCAACTGAGCCACAGCCGCCTCCTGTACAATAAAAGTCTGTTGTGCAGCATCTTCATACACAACAGTTGTTTACATGTTAATTGGACACATTTGACTCATGAAAAAAAAGAATCTATTCTGTGTGATTGACAGCTCTGCACGGCTTACAAAGATTGCTGCAATGTTTGAATGACAAGTATTTAAGAAACATGAAGCTGCCACCTCCAGTGATTGGCATTCTGCGACTGCATCTTCTCATCTATTGTACCATCACTCTGACATGTAAGACCCTCAGTCAGTGGCTCTCGTGTTTGGGGTCTTTTATCGTCTTTTATGTGAAGAAAAGATGGGGTTACTCTTGGGGAGGTGTAGTGTGGAGGAGTACAGGTGAGAGAGAGAGGAGTGAATGTAGCATTCAGCAGCGTAACTGTTTCTAACACTCCTCACTGCAGCTCCACCTGTCAGACAGATGGAGCGTGAATCGGGGTGACGTGGATGTGTCGGGTCTTTTTGATGCAATGAGACAGCCTGTAGCTATCAGGATTTAGGTTGTCAAAATGTTTGATACTTCTATACTTCTCGATACCACATAATGTGAAATGATACAATCTCTGTTATTTTAATGATCGATAGTATCCAAAAGTACCAAAGCTTTAAAAAAGACTGCATCTGTTTTACAACACCAAGAAGAGGAATGTATCCAATTTAAAAAAAATGCACAAAAACGTCTGCAGAGTCAAATAACACAAAAACATGTTTTTGTGTTATTTAAGCCCGACTCAGACTGCGGGATAATGAAGGTCTGATTCCTCCTTCCATGAAATTGCAGATTGTTCCCGACTTGAGGCTGCTCGGAACCGATAATCAGTTAATTTGGAAACTGAAATGAAAACCTTCCCACAGAGATATTTTAGTGGATAGCTGTCCTTTCTTTCTCACCTTTCCATTATTTGCAGAAGATTGTTTTGCAGACTTATCCCACTGTCCTTTATTTTATCACCTGTTGTAACCTTCTAAAAAAACAGAGCATCTTTGGATCTCTTCTGACGTGTAACAGCTGTAAATCAATGTGCTTAAAGTTGAGTACATGCAGGGGGCACTTATGGAAAAGTGGTTAGTGCTATACAGAGGCTGTAATCCTCCAAGCGGGCGGATTTAGAGCGAGAGAGAATGAATCTAAGATAAGAGTGGATTCCTGAAGTTACAGGATTTTCTTCTGTAATCTAAAATTGGAAAAACATCTCTCAGACTCTTTTTATCTGAAGACCTATGGACAGAACGTTTCTACAAAACATTTCCTTTTCTGTCTCACAAAGTTATTCAGCTGCCGAGCGAGCTTTTAATAATGCACCTGCAGACATTACTGAGTGTCTGGCTGACAAACTGGATTCTGATATTTAGCTTGAATTTTAAATGACAGAAAAGTATTTATCCCTCAAGAAAGATTCTTGTGCAAAGGATCAGTAAACTTGTAAAACAGTGGTATACACCTCTCTATACACATCAACACTTAAACATACAGCCATTTAGATTGTCTGAAAAACTACTGTCAACTTCAGTGAGGTGCCATCAGACTGAAACAAACTAACAAACCAATTTTACGCAGGAAGAACTGCATCATGCAACCTTCAAATTTGACTCTCTGCAAGTTGACCAACTCCCTGGGAATCCATCCATCCATCCATCCATCCCCCTATTATCTAAACAGCTTATTCTGTTCAGGGTGGCGGGGGCTGGAGCCGATCCCAGCTGTCATCGGGCGAGAGGCAGTGTTACAACTTATAGAGACAGACAAATGTTCACGCTCACACTCAAACCTCTGGGCAATTTAGACTCACCAGTTAACCTAACGAGCATGTCTTCAGACTGGAAGTCAGAGATCCCTTATCCAACCAGAAGCCTCCCCACTGTGCTTACCCCTCTGCATCACTGTGCAACCCTTCACTGGGAACAACAACTTAATAATAATTATTTTGAAAGATTTAAACTTCTAGTCCTCCAATAGTTTCTATGTCCACCTTTGGTGTGGATGTGGGATAAAGACAGTGGCTACAGCTCTCCTGTGGAGGCGCTAGTGAGCGACTTTTTACACTGAGCATCTCTGTAACCTACTGTTCAAGAGGCCTTATCGAGCTTTTGATGGCGCAGATGCAACTTAAGCAAATCAACTCTGTTGGGCACATCAGTTTAGCAGTTTCTTTCAGGAGAAGTCAAAGGGGCTTCTCCTCGTGCGGGATGGGGCGTCTTTAGCGCCAACATAAAACTTTCCACCTAGTTTCAAAGGTCGATCTAATCGGACAATAACTTTCAACAGGGACAATGGCGTCTCTCATTTTCACAGAGCGCCCTGATCACCTGTTCACTGCGCTATGTAACTTTGGAAAAGGGTCAAGTTCATCTTGCGAGAAGTTCACACAGCAGCCTTCAGCTATAAAGCAACCATTAGCCCGTCGCTGTACTGTTTGATACGATGACTGAGGCTAAGAAACAGACGACAGGTGATGGATGAAGCTAGGAAGGAGAAAGGTCTTTTATCCAACCTTTTGCATAAATGATACAAAAACCAAACTGTTCATATTTTCCTTTCATTTTCTGTTAGTGTATATTTTGAGTTATTTTTCATTGAGCAGCAGGGTTGGAGTAAGGATGATAAGCCGCTCGTAAATCAATAGTTTGACGGACTGAAGCTGTGAAGATGAAGGAACAGAAAACAAAAACAAAGCTCTCCTATATGGATTCAGGTAACCATGGCAACAACGCTTGCGTTTGATGTTCTGTGACCTCCCCTGACTGTGAGTCAAAAATGACTACAAAGAAAAAATGGCTTTAAAGAAAAGTCATAAATGGTTTAAGTTCAAAGGAAACTCGGCTCCCGTTCGGTGGAGCTGAATGTTGTTTTGTTGTTTTTATAAATCTGCAGCGGCTTCTTTTACGACCGAATAAAATAAAGTCAATGAGGTGAACAGATGAAAACTGGAGGAGCTGAACCTTTCTCCATGGAGCAGTAGATTATTAACCACCCGATGAAGAAGATGACACCTCAGAAAAATCTTTGTTTATTGATTCCACCGGGAACATGTTTGTTTGTTTGTTCGTTGATTGATTTATTTTTTGGAATGAAAATGTAAATGAGCATCACTAATGGAGAGTCGAAGCCCTAAGAAGAGTCCTCATGAACCTGTGAAATCACAAGTCTGGAGGTGTAAAGTCCACCCTAAACGCTACGTGTGGACGAGGTTGGTTGGTAATTGAAGGTGTGTCAGTGTTTGGTTACCATGGAGACGTACGGTTTGTTTTGACTAGTTGAGCGTAACGTCCAAACTAACCCAATTATGGTCACAGAAATTACATTTTAACTCGATGTGACCAATCAGTAAGCAGCATATGAAATATGTCATAACAAGCCAGACAGCAAATCCTGCAGTTCCTGGAGTGTCCACTAGAGGCTGTCTCCCCTCGAGCCTCATGTTAAAAATGTCCATCTTTACAGCAGAAATAAACATGTTTACAGCCTGGTACAGTCTGAATCTTTCTACAACCCACCTGTTAACATTAAAGCTTAAAGTGATGTAGAATTAGGGGGGCGTGGCCTCTTTGAGTGACAGGTGGGAGCTGCTAGCTGTCTGCTAGGTGTCACCTCAGCTAATTCCGTTTTGACCTTTAACCTCTGGGTCCTGTTTGTGCTTTTGGAGCCTTTCAGAGGTTATTTCATGTAAATATCAGACAAGTTATCTTGCTGTTATCTCTGTGTGTGTGTGATCACCACGGCTGGCTTATGGGCTCGTTCAGTGCTTGTCAAACATTGATTTATTTGTTTCAGGCTGTGCATGGATTCAGGTTTGTTGTTGCTTTTTTATCTTGATCTTCTTCCGCCAGTTTTATTTTTCTTGTTCATCATAAATCTCTCCTCCTCAGAGGATGAACCCTTCAGAATTTCATGGCAAAAATGTGCTTTTTCTTTTTAACACCATCCTCAGGATAAACACACCTGGAACTCTTTTACGTTCCCCTTTAACACAGTGTTGGTCTGCTCTGGTCTTCCGTGTGCTGTTAGTGTAATGACCTCTGCAGCCTGTTGGGGGCAGCAGGAGGACTGATGAATGACTGCTTGTGCCACTTGAGTGGAGAGGTAGTGTGACTCTCGTTTTCAGGACTATTACATCATCATTGTCTAAAAACCACACATACTCATGCACACGCACACACACACAAACATAGATGATCCCTCTCTGTCATGCAAACACAAGTCTCAGCACTGCACACACACACACACACACACACACACACACACACACACAGGCTACACTCACTCAGATGCATGGAGTGGGGGGGATAAGATTGAGATGCCTGCTTGCATTTGAGTGTAAAGTTATGTTTGTTTGAATTGGGGAGGAGGGTAAGCAGGAGGAGAGGAGGATTCCATCACTCTTAGCAACCGTTATTGAGTTACCACGGAAACGCTCTGCAATGTTCTCTGCTTCTCCCCTATCCTCCCTCTCTCTCTCTCTCTCTCTCTCTCTCTCTCTCTTTCTGTCTCTCTCCTTCTCTCCTCTCTCTCCTCTCTCCCTATATCCTGTCTTCACAGCCGCTGGTCGACTTGCTCGTTGCGTTGCTGTACTGCGTTGCTCTGGGACACTCAGCTGGATTGTTCTGCAGCCGCAGTGTCGGAGCACAGAGCTCAACTACTCGCTGCTGCAGGAGGTCATCAGCTTATCAACGCTGTTCTCTCTTGGTGCTGAATGATGCCATCCATCTCTTCTTGAATTTAACTTTCTGAAGAAAAAACAACAACACTCTGTCCTGTGACTTTTAACCCCTTGGCTTCTCTAATCGTTGTTTTTGATTGGTCAGGCGTTCGTGTGACATCACAGGAAGTCGGATGAAGTTCCATCAAACCCGAACACTTCTACCTGAGATCGGCGTTGATTTTTTTCACCACTCCATCAGTCTGAGAGACGAATAAACTGTCCACTGCGAACACTTCTACAAGCACCAGAACATCCCACCTCCTTCTCCTGCTCCTCCACCCAGCAGAGATGAACGAGGAGGTGGAGGAGTCACAGCTGTCCGAGGAGGTGCAGGAGGCTGAGGAGCAACAGGAGGAAGAGCAAGAGGAGGAGCAGTTGGTGCAGGAACAAGAGGGAAAGCAGCAAGAGGAGTTTGCATTGGAGGGGATGCAGGGGGAGGAGGAGGAGGAGGAGGAGGTGGTGCAGCAACAGGGGGGAGAGCAGGAGGAGTCTGCGGAGCTGCAAGAGGAGGAGGTGCAACTTGTGGAAGAGGTGCAACAGGAAGAGGAGGAGGAGATGCTACAGAAAGAGCAGGAGATGGACATGCAAAAGAAAGAGGAGTTGCAACTTGATGAAGAGGTGAAACAGCCTGAACAGGAGGAGCAGGAGCTGGAGGAAGAGCAGTTTGAGGATCTTCCACAGACCGAGGAGGAGGAGCTGCAGACGGAGGAGGAGGTGCAGATTGTTGAGATGTCACAGTCTGAGGTGCAGCAGACTGAAGAGAAGCAGCAGCAGCAACAGAGTGAGGAGGAGGTGCAGATTGAGCAGGTGCAGTACTTGGAGGACGCTCTGGAGCAGAACCACAACCAGCAGGTCCTGATCCGTCTCAGAGGGATGTGAGTAAACACGCTCAGCTGGTGGTGGTGATGATGTCACGCTGATGGTTATGATGATGTAATATCGATAATCATGTTGTGTGAATCGGAGCGACATACTCGGGGACGGCATCAGCGTGGTTGCCTGGTTGCTGTGGTGATGGTGGCACGAGGTGAAGATGGAGAGGTGACGGATGGGAGAGAGAGAGAGACAGAGAATGAGTGAAAAGCTGTGGGCGTGCGACATCACTGAACATAGTAGAGAGAGAGAGAGAGAGAGAGAGAGAGAGAGAGGGTATTTTGATGAAGTCTGTCAGATATTTTGGGCGCTAATGAGCTAACGCCGCAGTGGGAAACATCAGCATCACATGTGTCTCCCTTTTTGAGGCCACAGATGTAGAACAGCCTTGTCTCTTTTTTATTTTTATTTTTTATGGTTCGCTATAGTTGCCATGGTAACGGCCGAGCGTTGCGATGCAGCAAACTCTCTGCAAGGATGCAGACTGATCAGGAGAGAGAGAGAGAAATAGACAGAGAGAGAGAGAGAGAGAGAGAGAGAGAGAGAGAGGAGACATGAAACAATGTTTTTTAACTCCAGCTTCATCACTGCTCACACTGAGAACAAACGTGACTTCTTGTGAGTCTTTGAGAGCACAGAAACGATCATGAATAACAAAGGAACAGTCTGACATTGGTTTGTGTTAAGGTTGTCAAAATGTACGATAGATCAATACTTATCCATATCAAGTGTTTGAAATCGATACAAACCCTGTTATTTTAATGATATCTAGCACTGAAAAGTCCTGAAGCTTTGAAAAAACTTCAGATTTCCGTCCCATTTTTAACCAAAAGCTGCGACGAGAGAAAAAGAGAGAGAGCAGCAGTGTCCCATTTGCAAATAACGACGTTTCTTAAGTCCTTTGGTGTCTCATAAAGAGGCAAAAGTGACGTCTCTGTGTCTAACAAACGGACAGAGACAAGAGGAGGTCACACCGTCTTAACTGCACAAATACGTTGCGAGCATATTTGTGCAATTTAGACATTGTCCGCAATTCTTGTGTGTTGAGGACTTCTTTTTCCTGATATTGAAACAGGTATGGATATCATGTGATTTGTTCTGGTATCAGGTCTTAGTTTCAAATTCTGTTATCATCTCAACCCTGTCGAGTGGAGGGGCAGAAGGTGGAGGTGTGTTCAGAATGGACTCCTGTCTGTGGGTTAATATCCATCCCACATGTATGAAGATATTTCCACAACACAAACACAACAGTGGAAAACACGACACAGACATCTGAGGCGAGCAGTAAAGAAAGTAAAGTAGAGAAACTCCTCCCAAATGTGAGCAGAGTCCAAGCCCCCGTCCATTCCCTCGGCCCCCCGTGTTCAAGACTATTATCTGCTGCGTTCACATCGACTTTTTACAGACAGCTGCAGGAGAAAGTCACCTTAAAGTCAAGGTGAACAGCTTCTTATGTTTGTGTTCACACATGCTGCCCTCCGCCAAAATGTCAGGAAATGTTCAGTGCAGAGCAGGTGAGAAAGGGGCTAAATGGACTCAGTTCTGCACAGAGCTCTGACCTCAGCCTCCTCCAACACCTCGGAGGTGAACGAAAACACAAACAGCGAGCCTCAGTTTATTCACCCACATCCGTGATAGACCCTACTGTTTTACAACTGCTTTACAAAAACTTTCAATTGAAACTGTGAGTGGAGGAACGTTTAAGGGAATATTATCAATATCAGTCTTGTTTTATGTGGACGTCTAATCAGGGTAGATACAGTCAGCCAAAGCAATGTGTTTCTCAGTGCTGCAGAGAAAGCTGATTTGTGCTTCTTTCAGAGCCTTTCCTCTCTCCGCTGGAGGCAGACGGCTGTCAACGAACAAGTTCATTTCTGCTCCACCATCGAGGGATTAATTAAGGTCTTTGTTGGTTATATTGCAGACTTGCTCTGTATGTAAACGGTCATGGTAAAATTGCAATTTGGTGCTATATCTATAAAGTCGAGTGGAAAATTATCAATTTCAGGACCCATGGGCTGACATTGATCATTATCAGCTGCTGCCAACATTGTCCTTGGCTCTTTTTTAAAACCTGTGTTGGGTGTAGTTATCCTCACTTCTCACTGCTGAAGATAATTAGCTACACCACAAGTTACATCACTTTTGCATTACTATGTGACGTCGCCTTCACAATTGCCAAATAAAAAAATGAAGTTAAACCTCACATATGCCCACATCAGCACACATCTTGTGTAAACAAGGTTCAGAAAATGTATATCTTAAATTCTCGTACTTTTCCCCGTTTTGTTGTACTGCCAGGAGAGGAGAGGAGAGAGAGAGAGGGGTTGATGAAAATGTCAGTATGTTCTTCTTGAGTGCTTTCAGCTGCTGCGTGTTCAGTAATTATTCCTAACAAGGAACAGCGAGTGATTTTCTGCCTCTTTTGTCTCTTGGGCTACAAAATCACTGATGCTCTGCCCCTGCCTGTAAAAAGAACCCCTGCTGACACAACTCAGGTGTTTGAACACAGGTTCCTAAAACCCCCTGCTGTTTTTTTCGGCTTTTTTGTGTGGGCGTCCATTCAGTGTTGATGGTAAATGTAGTGTATAGAAGGGTAAAATAAGGTCTTTAGTTTATGCGCACTGACGGACAAATCTGACTTCTCCTGCTGGTGGAGTCATGCAGTCAGTGGCTTAACATGTTCCAGGATGCTTTGCACTCAATCAGCTGCAGCTGCTGTTATGAGGAGATTTACACATGAAAAGAAATAAATGGCAACTCTAAAACTTGAGAAAAATGATGCGCAGACTGAACAGGTTTTCAGTAACTTAAACCAAACAAAGTCTCACAGCTAACAGTTGGCAGTTTCAGAGTGTTTTGTAATTATTCCAAAAATCATCAAAAAAAAAAAAGAGTACATATTACTGTTGAAATACGGCCTGTGATCGTCACAGTCCACAGTCTGTTTGGCTGAAGAAAACATTATTCCTGAGGTCGGGATGTGAGTTATTGATTGAAGCATCAGATCCAGAACTTCATTGACTACAAGCAACGTCAGTCAGCATGTGAGTGCAGCTCAGTGCAGAGGAAAGATGCAGAAAATAATAATAACATAAACATTTGATTTATTTATTATTTACACATTCAGACCCAAAACAAAGCCAGACAGACAGACAGACACACACACACATATTCTTTAACCACGGCTCCTGCAGCCTGTTTTTACATTAACATCTTATAATGAGATCATTTGTCATTCTTCACATCACCGTGGTCTCATTTATCACGTTACCGAGGACGCAGTGTTTGATTTAATGGAAGTTTCTCACATCAGCAGCATCGCTGAAATGCAATATGTGCCGCATCGTTTCCAAAAAACAAACACAGATTTCTGCCCCTCGGTGATCCACGCTCTGTTTAAAAGACTCAACAGCTTCTCGTTTTAGTGACTAGTAAATACACATCACAGGAGGACTACATCAGAAACTGACCAGCACAAGTCTGTGTGTCGATCGAAGCCTTGACGAGTGTTTGATTTGGCCAAATCCTGTAATAAACATTGGCGAGGGAACGTGTGAACTAACTGTCAGCAGTGATTTTCGACGAGTGAAACACTGAAGGTGCAAAAATAAAAACGCAGAAATCAACAGACGTGCTCAACAGACGAAACTCTTACATAACTCAGATTGTAACTTCAGGGGGAAATCCATCATTGGCATCGCTTTGCAGGTTTTGAAAGGATTGTTAAAATGTGCTGTTGCTTTAGAGGATATTTGAGCAGCCTAAAAAAAAAGAATTACATCTCTCAGTAGGCTATTTGCCTAAAGGGCTTTAGGCCATGTTTACAATACTGAATAATATTTTGTTTCCTTTCCAAAAAAGTTCCATGTTCAGACGACAACGTTTTGATAAAAACTGCCATGCTCATGGACCTTCCAAAAAATCAACAAAGAACGCTGTAGTATACATGCCAGGCCAGTAGTTGGCAGTTTGACTTTGTAATAAAACAACATGCCAAGCGTATATTCTTGCTTCTGCAGAGCGGTGAGGTGCAAACATACAAAGACAACACACGTGGCATTAGCTCATCATGTGGATGGATGATGAGGAGAGGTCGCTTCTTCAAGTGAGAGTCATGCCAGTCGAACACTCCAACATCGGCCATTGTTGCTGTATTCCACCTACTCGTCCATTGACTGGAACTGTAGTGCACATGTGTGAGAAGTATCCGTTTCCAGAGGAACTGCACATCTCCAGTTTAAACGAGAAAGTTTGCACTCTGGAACAGGTTTTCAAAACTTTACAATTTTGGGCGCCTAGAATTTTGTTCTCGTGCAGCCCAAAAGCAACAAAAAGTGAGCGCTTTTGGCTGACATCTTTGTCGTGTGAACTGGGTCTTAGTCGTACAATTAAAAGAAGAACAAAATCGATGCAACAGAACAGAAGACACTGTTTTTTATTCCTTAATAAGTCATTGCTCATGCTGACTGAAAGCCCTTAGTTAATGCATTAATACATGTATGAAGATACTGTTCATACATGTGCATGACTGCAGTGAATATGATCATTTATTCATGACTCATGCATTAAATTCATGATAATATTTGGACCCTTATCTAAAGCGTTACCTAAAAATCGAGACAACCCTACTATAGGTAGACATTTTGAGGTTATGTACTTTCACTGATAAAATGAAAATAAGTTATTGACATGAGCCTGGTTTTTGCAGCTTTGGCGATTTGAAATATGAATTTAAAATGTAAGTATATTGTAGGCATATTTTAATTCCTATACTTTATGTACTTTATTTTGAAATAATCCTTTAAATACAGGACTTTACAGCTGACAGAATATTTCCACTTTTTAATTTTCAACCTTGAGAAAAAAAACAGCTCAAAGACACGATGACAGACCTCAATGTCATCGCTCGACCAGCTTCTTTGTGTCTTGTTATTGTGTGTGTGTGTGTGTGTTTGTGTGTGTGTGTGTGTGTGTGTGTGTGTGTGTGTTTACATGCATGTTTGCGTGTGTTGACGTGTGTGTGTCGTGCTTGATCCGCTCAGAGTCCTCTCATGTCTCAATTGAACACATTTATTCTTAGATGCAGATCAAACAAAAGAAATCTGTTGTTGCCATTTGGAGGGAAAAACAAACTAGTGTGCATGGATTTCATTATTTTCTTTCTTTCTTTTTTTCTTTTTGTCATCCTCCTTGTTACCATGGAAACAGCAGAGCATTTCGATGCAGTAAAACTCCCTGCTGAGGAGGAGAGAGGGACAGAAAGAGAACAGGACATCTTTTCTTTTTCTTTTTTAGATTGTCATTTATATATTTATTTTCCACACATTTCTTTTTCTTTCTTTTTTTTCTGAATATATACTTTTTTTAAATCCAATGCTGATTAATTTAAATGTAAATGCTTTATCAGATACAAACAAGGAGTGGGAAAAAAAAACTGTGCATGTGTGAAGAGTTCATCAGACTAGTTTGTGAGGCGTAAAATAGGATCGAAACCAGCTCAAGTGGTTCGGTACCTGCAGCAGAAAATCAGTTTTTGATGTCCAGTCACCTGAAATATTAAAATGAAGAAGAGTGGAATTCAAAAGAAATATAAACAGTCCCTATGAAGCCAGTTTGTTTGTCCTGTTATCACAAAAACATAAAATTCCTCCAGTAAACTGTAAACATATCAAGCAAAATGTTTGTCTCTATGTTACATTTGCATTAATATTGATAAGATAAAGTGTTAGTACAGAACAGTAGAAATGTTTTCATGTATTTTTTTAAATATTTAAAAGTGTGTTTTTCTGTTGTTGGTTCATTATAAGAGCTGCTGCAGGGCGGTTGGTGTCGATGTAGGCGGTGTAGATGAAGTTAACCGCTCAAAAAGCGTGAAACTCACCGAGCGTCGGAACCTTAAAAAACAGATTCACGCAGAGAAATAATGTATTTAAGAAAAGATAAAGATACTTTAATGCTTGTTATGCTCGAGCGTGTCAGAAATAAAAATGGTAAGGTGAGAGTGAAAAACAGCTGGAGGACAGAAACATGGAGAAGGAGAATAAAATGTAAATGTGTCGGTGAAGGCGGGCAGAGAAATTCATGACAGAGTGGTGACTCATTCTTCACAAACTATCTCTGTCCTCACTTGTCCTTGTTCTCTATGCTCACCTGTCGTTGTCTCAGTCCTTACCTGTATCTTCCTTTGTCTCTTTCCTCACCTGTCACTGTGCTGACTTGTCCCTGTCCTCACCTGTATGTGCCTGTGTCTCTGTCCTTACCTGTCTCTGTCCCTTTCCTCATCTGTCCTCACCTATCTCTGTCTTACCTGTCTCTGACCTAATTTCTATCTGTTGTCACCTGTCTGTGTCTCTGTCCACTTTTTTCTCTATCTCTGTCCTCACCTGTATATATTATTGTTCTAACCTGCCTCAATCTCTGTTCTGTCTCACCTGTCTCCATCCTCACCTGTCTCTGTCTTCACATGTCCCTGTCTCACCTGTCTCCATCCTCACCTGTCTCTGTCTCACTGGTCTCTGTCTTCACATATCCCTGTCTCACCTGTCTCTGCCCTCTCCTGTCTCTGCCCTCTCCTGTCTCTGCCCTAACCTGTCTCTGTCCTCACCTGTTTCTGCCCTCACCTGTCTCTGTCTTCACATGTCCCTGTCTCACCTGTCTTTGCCCTCTCATGTCTCTGCCCTAACCTGTCCCTGTCTCACCTGTCTCTGTCTTCACATGTCTCTGTCCTCGCCTGTCTCTGCCCTAACCTGTCTCTGTCTCACCTGTCTCTGTCTTCACCTGTCTCTGCCCTAACCTGTCTCTGTCTTCACATGTCCCTGTCTCACCTGTCTCTGTCTTCACCTGTCTCTGTCCTCACCTGTCTCTGCCCTAACCGGTCTCTGTCTCACCTGCCTCTGTCTTCACCTGTCTCTGCCCTAACCTGTCTCTGTCTTCACATGTCCCTGTGTCACCTGTCTCTGTCTTCACATGTCTCTGTCCTCACCTGTCTCTGTCCTCACCTGTGTCTGTCTTCACATGTCCCTGTGTCACCTGTCTCTGTCTCACCTGCCTCTGTCTTCACCTGTCTCTGCCCTAACCCGTCTCTGTCTTCACATGTCCCTGTGTCACCTGTCTCTGTCTTCACATGTCTCTGTCCTCACCTGTGTCTGTCCTCACCTGTCTCTGTCCTCCCCTGTCTCTGCCCTAACCTGTCTCTCTCTTCACATGTCCCTGTCTCACCTGTCTCTGTCCTCACCTGTTTCTGCCCTCACCTGTCTCTGCCCTCACCTTTCTCTGTCCTCGCCTGTCTCTGTCCTCACCTGTCTCTGCCCTCACCTTTCTCTGTCCTTGCCTGTCTCTGTCCTCACCAGTCTCTGTCCTCACCTGTCTCTGTCCTCACCTGTATTTGTCCTCGCCTGTCTCTGTCCTCACCTGTCTCTGCAGCAGGTATTCAGTAGTTTTTCCGCCTGCAGCAGCAACCCGTTGCTCTCCCCTCTGTCCTCTCTTTGTAATTCTGATCCGCCCACATAGGCTGGGGTACAATTACTGCTGGAGCATGAAATAACAGCTTCATGCTGCAGGCTTCAGAGTGGAGCCCAGCAGTGTCAGATCCGTGTCAGATCTGTGATCCGCCATTAGGGTCATATTCCAGCCCTGCTGCTTTATATTAGCAAGACGTATTTCATCCCAGAGAGGCTTTTTATTGGTCAGACTCATGTAGTGGATTTACTGCAGAGCTGTGAGCGTGACGATGTGTTTTCTCCAGTGTTTTGTTTGCAACGTATTCACTCTCTTTTTGTCTGAGCTGAACTTTCTAACTGAGTCCACTCTGTCCCGATTGTTGGTCCAGGGTGAACTTATTCTGTTGAATTCTTTGGCTGAGGAGCACTTTTGTTAAAATGCCCGAACTAGACTGATTCAAGAAGCAATTCTGTGTCATATCAGATTTTCTGTTGCACTGTCAAATCTGTCACTATCATTAAACTTTCTAAAATATTTGTTGAAAAGAAATCTATTCTGACCAGTTTGAATCATGTGACCTGCAGTACCACATTTTGGCCACTGAGTGTTAATGTCAGTTTGCACAAAACTCAGCATGACTTTTTTTCCATGGCTTTTTCTTGCCAGCCTCCTTTTAGAATATCTGAGTGACATCGGGGTGAGCCGATGTGATTACTCAGCCGGAAATATTCAAGAGAAGTCAACCTGAACAAGAACGGCGCGGTGATGATGATTATATTACCCAAACGCTGTGCGACCGCTGCTTTCTGTATGCAGATTATGAAGCTGTTTCATATTCTTTTCTGCTCGCCAGTTAGTTCTTCTCCACTCTTAGTTTATACTGAGAACACGTCCAGTGAACAGCAAGAAGTGATATAAAGGCATAACATCTGTCGTCTAAGCATTGGACTCTGTTGCTATGTCCACCATCTTGGATGTGATTTCCACACTTTCACAGCGTCTTCTTTACATCATGTCTCGGCCCTACAGATCCCGCCCACCAACAGTGAAAACTTCGACCAGTGAGAAAGAGTAACTCAGGAAGAGTTTAGAGGAAGCCTGTGCTGAATTGAACTCCAAATGTTCAGGAGTGCATGTGTGAAAAAGGCGTTCAATGATGTTTGTTTGAATGCAGCGTGATTGGTGGATTTTAATGCCTGTTCTGTTTTTGTTTTTGTCTCCAGGCAGAAATACAAAAGTACATCGCAGAGGTAAGACGCACACACACACACACACACACACACACACACACACACACACACACACACACACACACACACACACACACACAATGGCGTCAATAACCTCACAGTAAAGTCTTTAAGAAAATGGGAAATAAAATAAAACATTTGGATGATGCAAAAAAGGTTAGCAGCAAAACCACAGATAGACATTAAGAGAGAGAGAGAGAGAGAGAGAGAGAGAGAGAGAGAGAGAGAGAGAGAGAGAAAGAGATTCAATTAAGCAACATAACACAATGAGAGCGAGTGATGCCACTGAATGTCCGCCCAGCTGCAAATCATTCAATTGCGCCAAGACATTCACAGCAGTGAAGACACTCACCAAAACACCACGACCTTGAGTGCGATACCGGCTCCATACAACGGCTATATAAACAGCTAATAATTGTTAACAATAACAAACAGCAACAAGACACTCCGCTGTACCAACTCAGCAAGCTCCACAACCTGACCGGACAGCCAAACTTCCCACTCTGCTGCTTTGTTTTTGTCCATGGTGACAGCAGAACAAAACAGCCACTTTGCATGAATCCATTAATTTTCGTAGTATGATACATAATTCAACCAGTTCACTGTTGTAAAACATTTTTGTCCCTAGTCTGTCTACAAATCCCCCAATGATGAGAAAAGTCAATCCTCTCCGTCTTCTGCCTGCTCCACTTTTCAGAAAATGTGTGCTCAAACAGGCCGTTTGGAGATTTTCCCTTCATGACATCACAAAGGGCAGTAACCCCTCCCCCAGGTGGGTGACACTCCCACAGCTAGGTGTTTGTTCTTCCCTCTGAGTCTTCCTTCTCACTGTAAACAATAGGACATGGAGCGAGAAAGCCCGAGACACCCAAGCCCTTCCAGAGAGGAGGCGTGGTTAGACACCACTCATTTACATTTAAAGGTACAGACACAGAAACAGCCTGTTCTGAGCAGGGCTGAAATAGAGGGGTTTATAGGCATGATCAAATACAGGATCAGAGTGGATTTAGAACAAGAAACTTCACACACACGTTTTGGTGACTTATTTAAACTGGTTGAAGAGGAGGAGAATATGTGACCTTGAAGGCCCAGTCCCTTTTCTTAGCTTGGACACCAATCACTTTACAAAGAGCAGGTAAAAGACCTGATTGATCTATTATCTACAAACACCCAACATAAATCCATCAATAGCAACATTTAACAAAATTACAGTGGCGAGGAAAAACATCCTTAAAGAGGCTGGAACCTGGAGTCTGAAAGTGTTCACAAATAGTTTAAAAAAGTCAACTGATTAGAAGTGTTGAAGTTTATAATCATCAATAATCAAAAGTCAGGATATATTACAATCATTATTGCAAACAAAACCCTTCAATGTCTCGCATCTTGAACTTTTTTTTCTCTTTCAATCTCTCTCCCTCCGTCTCTCTCCCTCCGTTTCTGACTCCAGCTGTAACCATGGCAACTGAAACAGATTCCATCCAGTTTACGGGGAGGTGTTTTGGTTACCATGGCGATGGCACGATGCCCGGCCGCAGCGGAGTCTTTATGTCTCCTCTGTTGTAAACATAAAAAAAAAAAAAACCTTCCCTCAGTCCAGAGTCTTTAAAAACGCAGAGACTCAGAAGCACAAAATAATCGATCCGTTTGTTCATTCATCCATCCTCCATTCACCCGTCAGTTTATCCCTCCATCCATCAGTGTGCACCAACGTCTGCAGGACAGGCACCGCACAGGACACATTTACGAGCTGTCTTCAGGGTACAGGTTGCACCTTCCTGCCCACGCAGCATCTCCAAACAATAAAAACCCTGAGCTAATATTCTGTTTTTTTACAGGGCTGCATCTTTTTACACTGTGGAGAATCTCTCATGTGTCACCTAAGATTAATAACAAAATCTATAGAAAAAAACAAATATGAAGCCGAGCCGAGCATTAACTGATACTAAAGTTAAAACTGCTCTCTGAATGACAGAGACACAGTGATTGTATAAGGATCGGGATTCAAACCGAGGTCTATAATCATGTTTACTTCCTATAGGAGACTCCTGTTGATTTCTGTGGGCGTTGGATGATTGACAGGAGGCAGGGTGTCATCTGACCATCTGGAGGAAACAGATTTTCATGTTCTGGTTGTATAGTGAGAACAGGACGGCAGCTGTGTGGAGGCAAAGTATGAAGATGGGTTCCTCCTCCTGATCAGGTGAACTGGTGTGTGAAGTCTGCAGAAAACGTTATCTGAGGAGTAACTCAGCTCCTGTTTGGGTTCTGTTGAAGGATAATGTTGGTATTTTTAAATCGAAGCCTTGTTTTTATACATGTTTTAGATTTTCTGAAGACGACAAAGACTGAAAGCCTTTTTGGTCAAAAAGGTAAAATACTGTTTTTGAAAATGGAGTCTGTTGTCTTTGAAGAACGGGGCGGCTGTGTCTCAGTGGTAAAGTAGGTTGTCTGGGTCTATCCCCAGCTCCTGCAGCCACATGTCCAATGTGTCTTTGGCCAAGACACTTAACCCCAAGTTGCTCCCTCTGCAGCGTATGAATGTGTATGAATGGCTTAGTTACTTCTGATGGTCACTTAACAAAACAGCCTCTACCATCAGTGTGTGAATGTGTGTGACCTGCAGTTAGTGTTGTAGTACTCGAAATTGGTCTTGGACTCAAGACCACTTTTTGGAGGTCTCTGCCTAATCTCAGAATTTAAAGCATTTTCACTCTGTCTTGTCTTGCTCTTGGACTGGCTGGACGACTTTTCATTTGGTCTCGGTCTTGTCTTGGTCTTGGTCTTGACTTGGTCTTGATCCCTAAATGTCTTGTTCTTGTCAGTCTCGGAGCGCTCTGGTCTCGGGATGTCTTGGTCTCGGTTAGTGTGGTCTTGGCTACAACACTGCGTGCGGTGTTAAAGTGCTTTGAGTAGTCAGAAGCCTAGAAAAGTGCAAAATAGAATGGCTCCCTCTTTAATGAAAAGGTCTCTCTCTGTCGGGATAAGTTTCGTAATTTTGTCACACACTTAGAAGAAAAGTCTGAGCCTAAAACAACTTTTAGCGGACACACTTTGATCCATCAGGGATTATGTTGCAGACATTACGGCCTGTTTCACCGCTGCAGGATGAAGTAATTAACTGGAGCTACTTAAAGAGGACATATAATACCCCTTTTGAAACAGTCCCCTGTGGTCTAAATGAAACATCTGTGCTGTGCTTTGGTCAAAATATAACATGAATCAAGCACCAGAGGAGGTTTGTGACCCTGTATAAACCAGCTCTCTCAGAATTCTCCGTTTTGGTGTGTGTGTCTCTTTAAATGCAATGAGCTCCCCCTGAGTTTTCCCCGTAGACATCACTCCTCTGTAGCGAGAATAAAAATGGCGGTAAAAGTTTTGTTCTACGCTGGGGATGGAGTCCATGGGTGGAAATACCCAAGTTTTTTTTTTTTTTTTTTTTTTTACCAGAATCCCACTGTGACATCACAAGGAGATTTGAAGCGTGTTGTAAGACTTATGCAGACCACAAACAAATTACGGAGGGGTTTAATTCACATTTTGTGGATCAGTAGACACTCAGGTTACACAAATATATGTTCAAAAACACTGTAGAAGTTGATTTTTCATAATATGTCCCCTTTAAAACTTTTGTACCTTTGTTAATCTTTTAGACCCAAAATATGTAAAAAGACAAAAATAAGGCTTACATAAAAAAATACCCTTCGACATACCTCAACAGGCGCCAAGGTTAAAAAATACTGAATTAATCTCTAAGTCAAACACCATACATCCCAATGTGATATAAATCTGTGAAAGCTGAACTGGGGGGCTGAGTATTGAACTCTAACACTGTGTCTTTGTCAGATTTCAGCAGACTAAGAAGCTTAAATTAGATTTAAAAAAAAGTTGTTTCCTATATACCTGCAGCAGCTCAGACAAGCTTTGCTGGCAGATTTGGCCACTCTTTATTCAAGTGGGTGGGTAAAAATAGTTTTTTGGGTGGGCGAGTTCAAGGCTGTGATTGTCTGATTGAAATCAGGAAACACTGAGCCAAGGCAGCAGAGCGTGATAAGAGGGCGATAACAGCTGGTACAAAGTGTTTCCCGCTGATCCGCTCAGGAGAGGACAGCTCTCTGCAGGCTGATGACACTGAAAACAGCATGAAGTGAAAAGCTTTCATTTCAGAAGTGGCTGGACGTGCTGTTTTACTGCAGATAATGCACCAAAGCTAATAACTGTTTCAAGCATTTAATGGGGAAAACTCAGAGAAGAACTGGTCGTCTTGTAGTCTGTAGTCATGTGGGAGACAGAAGCTGATGGCACACACTCAAATCTCTACTTGTTGTCTGATTAGTAACACAGTTAACTACTTTGTTTTATTACAGGCTCCTAGTGGGTTGATGTGGGTGATTAGTTGAAGCATCTTCTGTTAATACTAATAACCAAAGTAGATCCCCACCTATCAGTGTTGAAAGATGAGGCCAATGTGCAAGTGTAAAAAAGCTGCAGTTCCTCTAGTGTCCACTAGAGTCTGTCTCCTGCAGTGAGTCAATCCCCATAGAGCCCCATGATAAAATGTCCAACTTTGTGTACAACAGTTTTGGTCTCAATAGCTCATGTCTCTGTTCATAACAACTGTATGGGCTGATTTTTTATACATCTGTTTAAATTATATTGAAGCTAAGAGTTTTGCAATACTTTGCTTAATGAGTGGTGAGGCTGAGTTGATTGACAGCTGGGTGTGTTGCAACTGTTTGTCAGGAGGTTTAAGCCCCGCCTCAGCTCCACCTCATGTTTACCTCTTTGATCTAAAGTTAGTTTGAGTAGCATTTTCAACATGGCTGCTGCCATCGTTTGGCTTCAGAAACCAATGGACGACATCATTGAGACTACGTCCATGTTTTGCATGTTTCATGCCAAGGATCCCTTATAGCATCAGCCTCTGGAGGGACCCCCCTTCCCCCCACCCCCACTTGCAAAATGTACAAGATTTATTAGGATCAAATGCAGTCAAACTTTAACTTCACCGGGAATGCAACAGTTATTCAAGGCAGACTGAGAAAGTAACCCAAAACAGTGCCCAACAAATATCACGTAAAAAAACTATATTAAACAATATAGGCAATATAAAAACGCATCAACACCACACAGTCCCTGAGCCATATGACACGTTTGAGAAAAAAAGGTAAACATATCAGGGCTTTTTCCTCAGGCAGAGCTCAGAGTTTCAGAGCGCTTCTCACCCGTGCTTATTGTCGCTATAACTAACCCTAACTAAAAAATACATAGACATCAATATTATAAAATCTATAAAGGCCTGTATTGCAATATAAGCTATTAGTGGATTTTTAATTCCCTCCTTGCGCCCCCTGGCAGGTCAAGCCCCTCACTTTGAAAACACTGTGTATAGATTAACACATTTACAGTTAACAAAAAGTGCAGTGAGGTGTACTTTTCCCAATGATCATGCTGTGTGTGTGTGTGTGTGTGTGTGTGTGTGTGTGTGTGTGTGTTTTCAGGCTGAAGATGGTCCTGGAGCAGATGGACTGCGGCGTGGTCGACCTGCAGGAGCTCCGCAGGAACCTGGAGCTCGCTGCCGCCATGTTGGACTCTGTTTACACAGATGAGACCAGGTGAGACTCGACAGGTAGTGAACCATCGTCATTGCTTGTCCACACTGAGAGTGACAGCAGGAGCGCCGCCAGGATTTCAGTACCAATGCATTGCCATTGTATTTTTATAAATTATATAAAAGAAATGAGCCAGTACTGGGTGTATAGGACTTTTTTTTGTTGCTGTGCGATCAAACAGGTATCATTTCAAGCATCTAAAAGGTTTTTTACATTTACATTATTTCATTTATTCTGCCAGTTTTTCCTTTACGATGACTCAGAGAGAAACAAATCCAAACTAAAAACTGTGGATCTATTTAAGGCCCCTTCCTCTTCCTCCACTGGGGCCCTGGGTAGTCTGCCCCCATTGTGACTGACGATGTTTGTTTCTGCCTGCAGACGTCTGTTGGACACTGAAGACGAGCTTAGCGACCTGCAGGCGGAGTCCGTACCCAGCGAGGTACGCGATTGGCTGGCGTGTACCTTCAGCAGGAAGATGGGCGTGGCCAAGCGTCGCCCGGAGGAGAAGCCGAGATTCAGGAGCATCGTCCACGCAGTGCAGGCTGGGATATTTGTAGAGAGGTAAAAACATTCAGTACGAGTTTGGAAGTACTAAAAGTTACCATACTGTGCTATTTGTTATCTAATTACAAAGACCCAACTCTTAAAGCAACAACTCTTAGAAATTCTGTATGGTGCTCTTTGGCGCCCACCAAAGGTCTCTGAGTGCAACTGCACTGTCCTTAAACACACATAGTGCTGTTTACACCACCTCCAAAGTCTTTTATTCCTGATTTTTCAGTGGATTGTATCCATACCAACGCACTCAAACACTATGATTTATTTTCTTTGACGAGTCCTCCCATCTGCTGCACGTAATGTGGAGAAGAAACAAAATCTGACCAGAAATGACTGCTGCCCTATACCGGGGATACCCACCAGGAAAATCCCCCAGTCCTCACCGGGGCTTTTGGTCACCCCCGGTCATCACCAGGAATATGATCTCAATCATTCTATTCTATGAGTGTCGAGCGCTGCAGTAATTTCTGTCCACGTTTTTTTCCTTCTCCACTCTCTCATGAAGAAGAGGACTCATTCATGCTCCACCAGGTTCTCCTCCCTTTTGGTTTTCTGCTTGAGAGTTGTGGTTATAAATGTCCACCAGCATGATGCATGATGGGAAATTGTCTCAAAGGAATCTAGTTGTAAACTTGCAGTTAGTGACCCTGACTAAAAACTTGGTGAGTTGCAGACACACGGACTTCAGATGTGAAGTCAATGTGGTAAGATTTATTTTTGGGCTTTTTGTGCCTTTAATGGAGAGATAGGACAGAGTTGGAAATCAAGGAGAGAGAGTGGGGAATGACATGCGGTAAAGGAGCCACAGGTGGGATTTGAACCTGGGCCGCCCGCTTGCAGGACTAAGGAAGGCATTAAACATCCGGTTTAAATATTAAAACCCGAGAACATTAATGAACATGAAGATTTTCACCTGCACAGACTGAAGGTGAATTCTTCAGGTTCAGTCAGGTATTGTTTGAGTTATTTTTGTCTCCAGCGGGACCCTGCATCACCTGAAGACAGAACAGATAAATAACTTTCTCAGAAACATCAGAAAACATCCGGGAGAACCTCTCCTCAGATGTGATTACTCGTGGAGAAGCGACGTGTAACGACGTTAGCGTGCGAGCTGTAGATGGAGATGAAGATCGTGCAGGGAAAGTATGAGGTCCGATGTCATTAGAGTGTAAAAGAGAGCACTATCAGTTCATCTGCTGCCGCTTAATGACGCATGAAATCAGAAAATATCTGCTGCACTGTGACACCCGGCGACGACAACCCAGCACTCGCTGAGTGTATGTGTATGTTTAGAGCACGGTTACCATGGCGACAAACAATCCATCCCTTTCAAATTGTGAAGGATGGAGTGTTTATCTGCACGCAGCTGTCTGTATCACCAAGTGTGAGGTCTGATATTTATATCTGTGTGTGTGTGTGTGTGTGTGTGTGTGTGCGACATCAGGATGTACAGACGGACGTCCAACATGGCCGGTCTGACCTACCCTCCTACGGCTCTGACAGCTCTGAAGGTAAAAATTGTTTGAAAAAACTGAAGAACCATCTGCAGGAAGTCACATCTTTTTTATTTACTTTTATTATAAAAGGTGGTAGGAAATGAAAAAAGGAATACAGGACGTTTGAAGGGAAGAGAAGCAAGGAAGGAAGGACAGAAAGTGAGGAAGTGAGAAAGAACGAGAAATGTTGAAAGTAAAGAGGCGAAAAGAGAACGAACCTGAGAGGATGGAAGGAAACTTAAAGACATGCTGTAGGAGGGGAAGCAAAGGAAATAAGGGAATAAGGAGGTATTGAAGAATGTGAAGAGATGAAACCCCCTCAGAGAAAGTAGAAAGGAAAGAAGGATGGAAAAGGATAGTAGACATAAAGTGAATTTGAGTTGATAAAGAGGAGGAAATGAGGAGAGGAGGAGAGAAGTAAAAAAGGAAAAGGAAGGGGAAAGTTAGGAGGTAATAAAGGGAAGAAGGACTTAAAATGACAAGATAAAATGGAAGGAGGTAGAAGAAAGTAATTGAGGGAAAGGAGGCCATAAAGAGGACGAAGTAAGGATATGGATGGGTGGGTGGGAGATGGATAGATGTTGGACGAAAAGGGAGGTGCAGGTGGAAGGAGAAATGGATGGAAAGGAGACAGACATGAAATAGTGAGTTAAGTGAGTTGGAAAAGAAGAGCGAGAAGGAGATGAAGAAAGAAAGGAGGAGAGGAAAATGTGGAGATAAAAAGGAGAAGTTAGAGGAGGAGTGAAAGGAGCTGGTAAGGAAGGAAAGGAAGGGAGACAGAGCTGATATGAGTAAACATCCAGGTTAGGGACGGAAAGAGGAGAAGGAAAGAAGAGAATGGAAGAGGAGAAGGAAAGAAGAGAAGGAACAATGAGAAGGAAAGATGAGAAAGAAAGAGGAGAAGGAATAAGGAGAAGGAAAGAAGGAAAGATGAGAAGGAAGAGGAGTTTAAAAAGAAAAGAAAAGGTTAGAAAGGTAAGAAATGGACAGGTGAGCAGAGAGAAAAAAAGGGAAGAAACTGAGCAAAGGAGGAATAATTTGAGGAGAGAAAGAAAGAGGAGAAGGAAAGGACAAGAGGAGATAACGTAGAGACACAAAGGAGAGGAGGAGGTGCAATGCAGTGTGTTTGCTGTATCACATTATTCCTCCTCAGGACGTCCTCACAAGCAGTAAAACAATGAAATTAGATCTCTAATGATTTAACAAATATAATTATTTTTCTAATTTCTGCTCCTCTCAGGATGTAAAACCACCAGAGAAAGAATAAAAATAGAACTTTTAGAGAACAACAACAACAACATAAATCACAATATGAAGCTGGAATGTAATAATGACCTCATCATTAGTCACAAACATTAATTTAATAGACCCTCTGCTTCACTTCCTCCTGCTCTGTGCAAACACAATTATCACACTGCCCTCTACTGGCACAAATCCCACATTACACTCAAAGAACAGAGGATTTAAAATGTAACATGTTGGGTTCACTCGAATCGTCCTTCATATGAACGCACCGCTTATAAAGCATCACTTATAAAGCCGTTTACCTGCACACAGCCCGTGACATCTGTAGCATCTGTAACATCTGTAACATCTGTAACATCTGTAACATCTGTAACATCTGTAACATCTGCACAGTGTAAGAGCTTCGTCTGATTCTCTTCCTCCACCGCCAACTTTTCCTCTTCTGCACCTCTCATTGACCCCGTGATGTTTTAAATCGAGGTCAAGGAGAAGTGGATAGGTAAAGGAAAGTTTTGGGATGTACCTGTCATTTGTTGACATGTCTTTCTGATCTCATTGGTTGTTTTTCAGGAAGTGGATCAGTGGTCGTTTGATGTCTTTTCCTTCCACGAGGCCACGGGAGACCACGCCCTCAAGTTCCTTGTCTACGACCTGCTGACCCGCTATGACCTCATCAACAGGTTCAGGGTACACACAGCTTTGTATCGTTAACACCTGTGGGAGAGGGCAGGGCTTAATGTTGGGACAGGTGTACACTTTTTTCCCTTCTGATAAATATGCACAAAGACAGTTTCCCTTTCTGGGTTTGTTTTTGAATTAAAGAAGCTAAAACTTAGATCTACCTGATGTATTTGACCTTTCACCTGGGTGTTCTAGTATTCATTGTATTTGTACTTGTGTGTGTGTGTGTGTGTGTGTGTGTGTGTGTGTGTGTGTGTTCCTGTGTGTAGATCCCTGTTCAGGCTCTGGTCCAGTTTGTCGAAGCTCTGGAGAACGGTTACAGCAAACACAAGAACCCGTACCACAACCTGATCCACGCCGCTGATGTCACACAGACCGCCCACTTCCTCATGTTACACACAGGACTCATGGTAACGCACACACACACACACACACACACACACACACACACACACACACACTGTTCAGGCCTGATTTATACTTCTCTAACTTATCAGTGCGATTTCTCGGCTTGTTTTATCCCCAGTTTTCTGTTCCGCCACATTCCACAACATGCTTGTTTGTGTACAGGAAACCATGGCAACAGAAACCAATCGTATTATGCTGGAGTTGGAATCTGATAAATGTTGAGCAGAAGTAGATTTTACTCCCATTGTTGCAGAGTAGAAAATGAAAACAGTGGCGAGACCGGAAATTATGTAAATGCAGGAAATACGATGCGACCCAGCGGACCAATCACGATGCTTGCTGCCTGCATCATTTCAACACATGGTTACACTTTTGCCTCGCTAAGCAGCAGCTGCAACCCTGAGATTGATTGACATATGTACAGAAAATTCATTATTGAACTTGTAACAGCCTTGGCAACAACATTGATTTACATTTTTACAAGCAAATCAGTGTTGCAACACGATGTGTTGTTTTGGTTGGTTAAAGCCGGGACAGGGACTGTTCAAAACCAGGACATATTAGTATTTTATAGATATGTGTGAGGGACTCGGGACACAGAGTTTGGAAATGGGACTTTCCCGGTAAAATCTGGCACGTATGGTCACCCTTGAGTACGTACATGTAAGCACATAACCTCTGTGTTGTTGCGGGGCTATGTGGGGCGCCGGTAGCCTAGCGGATAGTACGTCCACCCTATGTAAGGAAGTCTTAGACCTGTAGAGCGGGCGGCCACGGTTCGGTTCTAACCTGTGGCTCCTTTCCAGCATGTCATTCCAAACTCTCTCCCTCCCCAGTTTCTGACTCTATCCACTGTCCTGTCTCTCAAATAAAGACATAAATCTAAACAAGCTTTTGAAGTAAAAAAAAGTGTGTGTTTTTGTGTGTGTGTTTAGCACTGGCTGAGCGAGCTGGAGATTCTTGCGATGGTTTTTGCAGCGGCGATTCACGACTTTGAACACACAGGAACGACCAACAACTTCCACATCCACACCAGGCGAGTGTGCAAACACACACAGTGATATATCACTATTTATTATCATCAGTAAATCAGTTATCATCATATAAACATGGGGTAGCATCTCATTTAAAAAAAAAAACAACAAACAAACTGTTTGGCTGTTGAATCTGTCCATCAGGTCGGAGGTCGCCATCCTGTACAACGACAGGTCGGTGCTTGAGAATCATCACGTGAGCGCCGCCTACAGGCTGATGGCGGAAGAGGACATGAACATCCTGATCAATCTGAACAAAGACGACTGGAGGTGATCAAAGACTCTGATCATAGTGATAACAAACATTATAATACGAGTTATTAATCAGTGATTATTTATGATTATTAAAAATCCACAGGGAGCTGCGGTTATTAATCACAGGTGATGTGTGTGTGTGTGTGTGTGTGTGTGCGTGTGTGTTGATTATCGGTGTGTTTCGATCCTCCTCAGGGAGCTGCGGGCTCTGGTGATAGAGATGGTGATGTCCACAGACATGTCGTGTCACTTCCAGCAGATAAAGACGATGAGGAACGCTCTGACACAGACTCTCAGGTACGCTCCAACTCACACACACACACACACACACACACACGTCACACCATCAGGATTGATTATTTTAAAAACTATTCATCGGTATTGATCTACTGTAAATCTTTTTCTCTCACTCCCACCCTGTTACGGCCGTAAGAGGCATTAAAAATGATGATGTATAAATAAATAAAAAATAAATAAAATAGTCAGTCTTCTCTCTGATGGTGTCGTTTGCTTTTGTAGGTCATATAGAGACATCAATAATTCATTTCAGGCTGTTACATAACCAGATAAAAACTTGTTACAGAGACTTTAAAACTGCACAGGATGGCTATATCAAATAAGATGCATTGATTTTAAAACCATAAAGAGGATCAACTCTATTCTATTTCATTTATTTGATTTAGATATTGATTTTGAGGCTTTTTATGCCTTTCTCATAGTGGGTAGAGTCAGAACCAAGAGAGAGAGAGAGAGTGGAGAACGACATGCGGGAAATGAGCCACAGGTCGGATTTGAATCCGGGCTACCCACTCTCAAATACTTCAGCCTCTGTACATGGGACGCGCGCTCTGACCGATGGCTACCAGCACCCCCTCTCCTTAATTTTTTGTTCATACAAATTCCCATGAAACATTGTGAGACGACAAAGATTTCTAGATCTATTCCTTTCTATTCTGTCGTCTATTTTTAATCTTAAGCGTGATTGCTGTAAATGGAGAGGAGGGAATGTGCAGAATATTTGGTGATGTGTTGTAGAAAAACAAACAATATAAGATGTAAGATGTTGCTTTAACAAGAGGAACACGTTTCTTGTTTGTAGGGAAACATTTGGAATTGACTGAACACAGAACTGAACACAGGTTTGATGGGTTTTCCCTTTAAATTGAATGCAGTGTTTATCCTCTATCGCACAAATCAAATCATGTTTATTATGAAAAGTAAATATCAGACCGGTCAGCTGCTTTAATGACGAGCGTGTTCTGGCAGACTGCGTGTGTGTCCGTGTGATGAAGACGAGCAGATCTTCAGTGGGAGTTTGGTGAATCTGCAGACATATGTTCCTGCAGGCTGCTGAACCAGACAGAGACCGCTCGGAGAGAGAAAACAGATCCAGTCTGATCGCAGTCCACGTCCTCCTGTGTGTGTGTGTGTGTGTGTGTGTGTGTGTGTGTGTGTGTGTGTGTGTGTGTTTGTGTGTGTGTGGGGCGGGGTGGGGGGGGGGGGTATCCTGTCACACTTGGATGAGATTTTGGGGTAGACTCTGTCATCAGTCTGTCGACAGGCTGGTTTTACTTGTGGTCCATCAGCTGTGTGGACGACTCTTCTCTGGACGCTGTGACCAAAATACAAAAATAAAGAACTGAACCCCGCCAAGATAACACACAGGAGGACGCATGTGGACGAGCAATTCAAGTCTTTTATTTTTATTTTTTTAAGAGAAAGTGTTAACCTTTCCTCATGTGCAACTTTTGAAGAATTACTCTCAATTTACACAGACACAATTTAATTAACATTTTTCCTACCTCTAATTGATACAGTCCTCCTGAAGGTTAACCACAAGCACTTTTCACAGAAAGCAAAAAGTTGTCACTCAGTTGAAAAATAATTATTGAATTGCAAAAATACCCTTAACATTGGTGGAGAAAGTCATCAACTATTTTTATGTTTGCCAGGAAATTACAAAACATTTAATACCATAAGCTCACACTACTAAATCTCTCTCTCTCTCTCTTGCTCTCTCTCTCTCTCTCTCTCTCTCTCTCTCTCTCTCCAGTATAGACAAAGTGAAGGTTTTGTCTCTGATGCTTCACGCTGCAGACATCAGTCATCCTGCTAAAGCCTGGCCGCTGCACTACCGCTGGACCCACAGTCTGATGGAGGAGTTCTTCAGACAGGTAAGAGAACACAGTTTTCTTTGAAAGTAAAAACTGGACCCCAGGAAGAATAGCTGAGCTCTCGATACAGCTAATGGGGATCCTAACAAATAAACAAATAAACTGTTAGAGGTAACAGCACACAGTCACAGGTAACAGAAAACTGTCACAGGTAACAGGACACTGAAACTCTGTTTCTCTTTCAGGGAGATAAAGAGGTGGAGCTCGGCCTTCCTTTCTCTCCTCTCTGTGACCGTAAAGCCACCATGATCGCCCAATCACAGATAGGTAAGAATAACCATCAACCAGTCAAACATCAGGATCGTCCCCAGGTGGTGGCAAGTGACAGAAAAGTAAGAATAACCAGGAGCACTGAGGTGATTAGAAGTGAAACCTTGACTGAACCCTCCAGTCTGACTCTGGTTAAACAGTGACACCTGGTGGTGGATTCCAGAACTGCACTCATCCTGATCTCAGACAGATCGTCTAAACATTAAAATATACACAAAGTTTAAATAATATTAACCAGTTATTCTGTACCTCCATCCATTCATCTCCTCTCTGACTGCTAACAGGTTTCATCGACTTCATTGTGGAGCCGACCTTCAGCGGGCTGATCGACACTACAGAGAAGGTGATTGGTCCTTTGATAGATGAGGACAGGAAGGCCAGAGAGACAGGAAACAGGGAGTCCAGGTACTAAAATATATACTTTCCACTGTAACATAAATAAATGTGTCACTTCTCAAGAAAAGTTAAAAATTAAATTCAGGGGCAATCAGGTATTATCTGCTAAATATTTCCAAATCACACAAATGTAGCGGTGTTAATGTATTTTATTTTGACAAAAACACAAACATTGTGGGGGTGAACTATCTCTGCAGAACAAAATAATGTAGCTACATAAGTTATAAATAGGTTTTTACAATGTCATATGATATACGCATGTCAAATATAATGACTCTAATTTGCATCGATCAGCACAGGTTCCCGTCTTTGCGTTGACACCTCGTGACAAATGTCTCTTTCCTTTTGCTCCAAAACGCCTGATCTCTGCTCTGCCGCAGCCTGACAGGCAGTGGCTCGGTTACCGTGGAGTCGGTTCAGAGACACAGCAGTGGTCGCCATAGAAACAGTGATGATGGACACATGGATTTTTCCCTGACTGCCATCGACCTGCCGGCTCTGAGGACCCACCTGTCAGGTGTCATCGCCAGCAACAAGGACAGATGGAAGGAGCTGTCTGTGCACGGTACAACCACATGCTAACGTTAGCGATTAGCTCGAAACAGCGCCTCAGATTTCTATTTCTGTTGCTATGGTTTTTCAAAGTTTAAAATTTTGGTTTTGTGACAACCCTACTATACATGCTTATTTATCCTGTTTGTTTCTGACAGAGTTGGCCAATAAGGAGCAAGAGGAAAAAGAGAGCGTGGCGTCTAATGACAACCAATCACAGGCCTCACCCAGCCACAGTGTCCCTGATAGACACACTTCGGACCAATCACAGAACTGTGACGACGCCCCTCCTGAAGATCACCTGACCTGCAACGGTGAGAAAAACAACGGAAATTTGAGGCAAATGTTTACGAACAGTAACCCTCAATGAGCTGTTGCTATGGTAACTCTTGCAGGGGCGGGGTCAGTGGAGAACGATGAGCAGGAGGATGAAGTGCCTGAAAACGCCTGAGGATGAACCACAGCACACTCACCACTCGACGACGACGGCGAGTGTTCAGACTCGTCTGTTTAAACTCAGCAGTGGACCCGGCGGGCACCCTCAGCGGACCGCATAGGGCCCGCAGACCTTATGTTTACAACGATCCATCACATTTAAAGTGACACCGTTCATCAAAGAACAGCTTCTTAGTGCTGAACGTGTTTATGATTTTATTAGAGACTCAGTGGGAAAAAGAATGTGAAATAAGAGGAAGACGTAAATAAAAAATAAAGACAGGTGACACCAGAGAGCAAAGTGTTCTCAGGCTAACGCAGGTTAAGTGTTTATTCTGTGGAGGAATGAAGCATTTGTGAATGAAGTTAATCTCTTATAAGATGTCAGGAGTGTGAGGATGATTTCTGCTCTGGGCTCAAATGACTGTTGTGCCTCTGGCCACACCCACTGAATGTGATGTCATCAACCATAGTCACACTGTGGCCCATTTTTCTCCGATATCAGCGTCAGGTTAAAAAAAGCTTCTGTGATGTTGTGTGTCAGGCTTGCCTGTTTAAACAAAGCCTTTTGATTGGCTTACTGTCTGAGTAAACTTTCATTGGGTTCGATATCCAATCATGGGTGACTCTCTCTCTCTCTCTCTCTCTCTCTCTCTCGTCTTAATGCCTTTTTGTTCATCATCCAGTAAACAAGATGTGCTGAGTTTAACTTTTAAGTTTACCTTCATCCATGCTCGACCTAAAAGTCACAGAAACAGGGCTTAAGTCCAGCTGGTGCACAGGGCATGACTTTCAACTCTGAGTCATACCCCAGCTGGTGCGCTCGGCCATGGCTGTTTTTTTCTTTTACCTAAAAGTTGACGTGCTGATCCCGATTTCCCCAAAACTCACACACAGCGTTACAATGCTGGATGCCCAAACTTTTCAGATCAGATCAAAGTTTCAGATCATGAAGTTAACGTATTTTGGAGTTATCCAGGATAAGTTTGCATCACAAATAACTAGAAACCTCTCACAGGAGCTTTAAATTATTTTTTTATCATAAAACCACACCCGTCCCACAAGCATCAATTTCAGCAGCTGGAGATGTTACAACTGCATCTTCCCTGAGACTTCACTTCAAAAAAGTTCTTGTTCTTCTGACTCCTGTCTCATAACTGTGGAGATGATTCATTGTTTGTGAAGAATAGCAGGACTATATTAAAACTGAAATGCATTTTTTTAAGGTATACCCTCTGTGACATCATCATTGGGGGCGTGGCCTGAAGTAAAAAAAAAAGTCTGCTAGTTTTAGCATACAGATATTTACATGTAGATGCGGCCTCTGGGCTTCTGAGATGCATCTCCCCGGGCCGCCATCTTGGAGAGGGGAAGAAGAGGTTCTTAATGAATGTAAGTGATTACATTATTCATAACTTGCTTACATGTCGGCTTATTTTCAAGCGGATTGTTTTGTCACAAACGTCAGACATGTTTTCATGATCCAGGATACTTACAGGTTTCTATGATCAAGGCGATTTTAAAAAGGTGTTTAAAATGTACAGAAGCGTCTTTGATTCGCTTGAAAAGAATAAAATCTGCTGCTTCTCTGGATTTAGGAGACAATTATCTCTGGACTATGAGAACGTTTTTAATGAATAAATAAAAACATGCTCTGTTTTTCTGCATTTTTACTGTAACCAAATATCCTCGATCATGAATACATGTCTGACATTTCTACGAGTTTTGAATAGTTTAACCGTGTATAGACCTTTTGCCATGTCATCCCTTACGAGCTGTGGTTATAGCCCTCTCCAAGATGGCAACAGCGTAGACGCACTGCTCCTGTGAACAACAGCGGCCCCCGGCATCATCTATGTGTCTATATCTGTGGTTTGAGCCCTCAGCAAGCGGAGCAGCAGATGTCCGTCAGTGTGGATTTATAATCAATCAAAACAGAGTTTACATGTGATCACTTTGAATACGCTGCTTTTTTTTTCTTTTTTTTTTACAACACAGCTCGTCTTGTTGTACTGTTGGCTGATATAATCATAGGTTAGCTTAACATTTTACTCTCTGCCATCTTTGTAGTATCTTTGGACTCTCTTACGGGGGAAAAAAAACAACAATGAGAGAAAACACTAAGTCAGAAAATACCAGAATTGTAATTCATAAAAAGAGCATCTAAGAGATCCGACAGCCTCTGTTGTTGCTGTTCTTCTGACTGTTGATAAGAACTGTGCTGTACTTTGTATCACCACGGCAACAACGGCAACAGGAACACCAGATTCAAAAGGGTGGAGCCAACATGGCCGACGGTGAAACTCTTCAGATCCTCTGAGCGCCGTGTTTGTTAATGCAACGTGTGCTAAAGTCATCGCTAAAGTCATTGGCTATGTGTGTGTGTGTGTGTGTGTGTGTGTGTGTGTGTGTGTGTGTGTGTGTGTGTGTGTGTGTGTGTGTGTGTGTGTGTGTGTGTGTGTGTGTGTGTGTGTGTGTGTGTGAGAGAGAGAGTGAGTGTGTGTGTGCTCTGTATACTGTACAGCTGTTTTCTGTATTATTGTATTAAACATTGACAACGACGGTTATGTCCTGTTATTTGTTTATTATGGCTTTATTCCGGCGTTAGCTTGGTTAGCATTGTTGTTTTTTCTGTAACTGTTATATTAGTGGGATGTAAACAAGATCCCGTGGCCTAGCAGTGAGGTCACACCCAATGGATCTAGCCTGAGTGACGTCAGCCATCTGTTACTGCAGGGGGCTCTGGAGGCTTATCGCCAGCAGCCGCCATTTTGGAAATGCTGTCTTAGCCTAACTTTCAGTCAACCTAACGACAGGCTGAGAGCTGGAGCTGAGGCGGGTTTTAAGCCTCTTGACCAACCGTTACATCGTGCCCACCTGTCAATCATGTCAGCTACACGCCTAACTATGGATAACACATATCGTTTTCAAAATCAAAACAAAGCTGTTATAGAATAAATATAAATAAATAAATCACCCCCCCCCCGACAGTGTGTGTCCATGAAGACAAAAACTAATCATCTATTTGCTTTTTTGTACCAAGCACAACTGTAAATCTTCCATCCAATCCGATATCCGTTGCAGGGCAGTTCATCTGACTGCAGGGGGCAGTGTGAACAAACCTGTGTAGATTTAAAATAGGACTTTCTGGTTCCTCATTCTGTTACAGCTCACAACCAGAGGGACTCGTACCCTGACTTCCTCCCACAGTCCAAAGACTTGCTCGTTAGGTTAACTGGTGACTCTAATTTGTCCGTATAGGTTGTGAATGTGAGTGTGGCTGCTTGTCTGTCTCTATAAGTCAGCCCTGTGATTGACTGGTGAACAGTCCAGGGTGTTACCCCGCCTCCAATGACAGCTGGGACCAGCTTCAGGGACCCCAAACGCGAAAAGCGGTAAAGACGGCTGGGTGGATGGATAGAAATAGATAAATAAATAAAAGTGTTCATGGTATCAAAAAAGGTATTGATATCGTCTGATTTTTACAATCATATCAAAGTTCTGTCTTCTGCTACTTTGAAGATAATAATGCACATTATTCCAAAGGTGGCAGCAGCAGCAGCCTGTGAAGTCTGAACATCTGCCAAACTCATTATAATTAAGTGTTTTAGTTGAGCCACAGTGTTTTCCAGCAGACAGAGTTCTGTGTCAGCAGCTGGAGGAAACCTTCACCTCTGCCAACTTAATTATTTCAGAGTGACACGGATGTGATCGAAGGCCGAGACTCAGATCACTTTTAAAACATGGTTTATTTATTGTTTTCTTTGGCAGCCATACATCCGACATGCTGATAAATGTCATCGGTCTGTACTACAGCAGTTTACAGGGACACGCCTGGTGAAAAGAAAACACAGTTAAAGCAACAATATGCAACTTCTCCGACTTAAAATAGTCACTTCAAAGGCATAGATCTAATAGTACAATAACTTTCAGCTGAACGGCGTCTCTCTCACGCCCACAGAGCGCTCTGCTTGCTCGTTTACTGCACTATGTAACTTTGGCAAAAGGATGAGGTCATCTCGCGGGAAGTGTTTTTACGACTGAACGGCACCAGCAACCTTCAGCTACAAAGCAGCCTGTTAGCCCGTCTCTTTACTGTCTGATACGATGACTGACGCTAAAAGACGGAAGAGGACGGTGAGGCGTGAAGCTTAGGAGAGAAAAAGAGAGTTGGCTACAGTGTCGCGAAACAGACCCGAAGCCGAGTTAACTATGATGCTGTTAAAAGGTTGCAAACAGGTTACAATATTGCCCAGCAAGTAGATGATCATCTGTCTAATGGCTGATGGGAGTTCAATAATCTTGCAGGCAGCGTGTCAATCCCTGCAGATATTATTCAGAACAGATTGAACAGCAATATTTTAGCCTGTATCTTCATCAGTGTAATCGTTGTCTCATGCTTAGCAGCTTTACCGGCTGCAGAAAATCGTCTAACCCTGAACCTTGTCAATCGACTTGGTTCTTTGGCTTCTCTCAACATCTTTGCTGGCTTCCTCACTCTCTGGCTGTCAACGAATGCATGTAGTCGATGAGGGGGAGGAGCTAACAGCACTATGAGTGTTTTATGACAGTGCAGTTCCATTCAGAGACGTTTGAATTCCTCCATATTGTTGCTTTAACACAGAATGTTAGGTACACCTGGCTAAAATGAGCTCAGTCTAAATGAGGAGGTAAAAGTCTTAATTGCACATTTAGTCAAATTAATTAAATAAAAACAGATGCAACCATCCAAAGCTAAGTTTTCTTCCTCTCTTTGATGTGTAATCTTGTATTTTTTTTCCCCTGGAAGACATGAAATTATATGAAACACACTTTTACCTTCAATAATTAAATCTGTCTTTAAACATTGTTGGAGACATTTGGGATAATGTAAGAACATAACCCTATAAAATATATAACTTCTGTCTGCTCTATATCAGACGTTATACTGTTAAATCTTGAATCCCTTTACCGTATGTCACATGTCTTTTATGTTTCAGCAGCAGGGGCCGTGCAGGCGTCCGTCCTGCTGTGACCTCACGATCGTGTTTAAACCAACGATGTGAGAAGTTAAAGCTGACATCTGAGCTGCAGAACATTCCCTCCGAAATACAAAAAAGGCCGCCCCACTTAAACTTTAAATGACTCTTACTTTACCACCAAGATTGAAAACGGGGAAAGGGTCTGAAAGAGGGTCAGATTTAAAATGCTCTGTCAAAGAAATGTCCTGAATATCGACTCTGGTTTAAGGAGGAGGTTGTTTCAGCTCGTTCAGCTTCAGCGAGCAAACATCCCTCCTCTCCCTTTTTACTCTGAGACTCAAAGGTCTGAGCAAAGTTTGAAAAGCCTTTTGTCAACAGGGAATCCTTTTATTTAAACGAGAGCCGTGAAGAAACCGCAGCACAAAGAAGAAGTACGTGATCTCCTTTAAACATCAGCCGGTGTAATAGAAAACGTTTCTGCAGAACTGTTTGTTGTAAACGTCTGACAAAAGGCCACCTTCACCTATTTCCAAAGTGTATGCCAACATCTGACATTTTAAAATCCATACTTTTGTTGGACTCAGGTTAAAGTAGCGGCATGAGACTGATAAAAAATACCTCATACATAACCATGGATACATTTGTGTTTGGCTTTTGTTAAATGCACAAAAAAACTGAAGCTAAATCACTGAAGTTCGGCCTCTGATGACCCACCAGCAGGGGGCGACTTCCTGCATGTCTGTAACCTTTCAGAAAGTAAGTTGCTAACCGGAATTTAAAAATTATTTGAAATAGCCCTTGCATTTATTGCAAGGATAAATGAGACTTGTTTTCTGTTGCTTAACTGATTTGAAACAACATGTAGGAACTTGGTTTAGTTTACTTTGGCGCCCACCGAAGGTCTCTGAGTGAAATTGCACTGTCTTAAAACGCATGAAGATAAAGATTAACTTTACTGATTACCCTTTGGGGATTTTTTTTTTGTTACAACAGCTAAAAAAAACAGGAATATGGAGCTGAGGCGGGTTTTAAACCACCTGACAAACCGTTACACCGCGGCCACCTGTCAATCAGGCTGTCAATCAAATAGGCTTTTTTGAATAGGTGTGTATGTGACTTCCTGTGCTTCTGCAGCCAGCCTCTTAATTCAATTCAATTCAAATAACTTCATTTATCCGTTAGGAACTTCATTTGTGTAAGAGAGCATCAGTGTGCATACAGCTAGACACAAAGACAACAGAAACACACACATACAAGTGGCTCTATTA